AACAATTTTATTATTATAGCCTATCACTTGACCGATCTTAAGTTCCATATTACTCGGAGACATGTATAGTCCCGGCGCATAAACGAAGTCCACTTTGGATTGAGCGTACTGTAATGCATCTTGAAAACGCTTTATAGACGATGGTATGTCAACTGGTGAATTAATGGCGTCCTCCACGTTTGCGACAAACTGTTTTTGTGCATCGAGCGCCGTCCCAGTACCGATAATGGATGTTCGTGTTTGCGATTGTGCACCGAGAATTGCCCATACATAAGTTCTTATCGATTCATTAAATCTTACAAATCCTGGGTTAGTAAAATTATTTTCCGTTTTATCATTAAGAAATTCATTCCAAGCATCTGTTGTATCGTTTGGATGCACAAACTTTGTTACAATATAAGGTAGACCACTCTTAAAACTCATAATATCTTCCCTCCAATCATTATTAAAAAGTTGCCAGTTGTTATCCCAAATATGAGTTTTTAAGAAAATATTATGTAATCTTACATAAAGTTTGCTTCTATGCGACCACCTAAGTGGATCTACTGGTTTTTTTACCATTTCTTTAGCTAAAATATCACTTTCTTCTTTAACAGTTTTTTGTCCACTGTATGGAACACCTAGACCATGGCTAGCTCCTTTAATATGCCAATCTTTACTCGTAGAAACATTAAATTCATTACAAATACGTTCGAAGGCCTTCTTATTATACGGATTATTTGTGGAATTCCACGCTCCATCCTGCGGTAATCGTGCACCATTTTATCGTTAGTTGCCGTGACCCTGTAATTTTCAAAGATATCGGGGAATTTAACGAAAAATTCAGCACCAGAGGCAGTTACTATAATCGATTGATTAGTAATGTATCTCGATTTCATATTTAAGTTATGATATAGTATCATTGTATATTTAATATGTATGTTACACTACCTGGAATAACAAATGGTCAGTCTATTGAACTTCTTCATACTATCGATAACTCGGATGGACAACTCGAAGTAGCTCTATGCGATGTAACGTATTACCCGCTGTGGACCAATATAAGTGCTGCGAGAAGAAATAATAGTATAGATATAATAGGTGAAAACAATGGTATTGAAAAATTCATTACTATACCTGATGGGTATTACAGCGTATGCTCACTCAATGATGAAATTTTTAAGCCTAATGGAGCTAGTCTAACACAAAATGAGTCGAATGGGATAGTGAAAGTCGACTCTGGAGAAAACGTTGTAGTTCTTAGGCCATACTTAGAAGTTACACTTGGATTTCATCATAGAATAGGAATTATAAATTCTAACAAACCACGACAGGGAATTAAATTACCCGATTTAGTTCCCTATAAAGAGTTGTTCATCCATCTTGATCAAATAAGCACGACGGATAATATTCAACTAGAAAGTCCTTCAACTCTACTCAGAAGTGTTCCAGTGAAAAATGAAAAATATAATAGCGGTAGAACGGAATCATTCTCGACATTACAATATAAAAAATTGAAGCGGGGTATTATTTCAGACCTCAAAATTTCTGTATTAGATGTAAAACATCAACCTGTACATATAGGATACTTAAGCGTAACACTCCATATTAAAAATAATGGTTGATGCATCAGGCCCTGGAACAGTAAGACAATGTAATACAATTGCGCTTTCCGATCTCGGAGACACAGAAGGATTTGATAAACCCGGTTACAATGGTAAGTTATACGCTTTACACTTACACGATAATGTATACAAGCGGAAAGAAGTCACATTCACGGGTAATCTAGAAGATTTAAGCGATGTCGATGTTAGTAGACTCCTTAAAAACACTTCGTACAATATTACTCACAACGACGATAATAAATGGACTATGGTCGAAGCAAACATCGAGTGGTTACTGAATATCGTCTTTACCCCACCTTATGTGATGATGGGTAAGGGACATAATTTAACTAAGATAATAAATAGTGGTATCGTACTCGCGGCTTATATCCCATCAAAACGAAAAAGTGTGTTAGTTACCCCCCTACCAGAAAACCCAGGTCATATGTTATATAGTCGTCCGGCCTTAAAAAATGTTACTTTAAATTTGGTTACTGAATTCGAAGATATTAAAGTTAACCTGAGTGCAATACCTAATCTTTCTACACTTATTATTGAAGTCTTGTTCGGAGATGTACCGGTAGATGCCTTCGAAATATTACCAGGTCTATCGATTAAATGGCTCAAGAATCACGAGCGTCAACGTTGCAGTATTATTCATATCGGAGCATCGCCCGTTGCAACCCTCGAGGGGGTCCAAATTATTAAAAGTGGTAGTATTTCTCTTTCTAAGATATTCTTGCCGTATAATATACATTTAATAAGGTTGATGTATAGTCTCAAAACATTTAAGCAAGACCAATTAAAGACTATTATATGATCGTTATATACACTATGAGTTTATATCCGGCGCTCAATGAAGCATTTGAAAAGATGGAAACTGTTGATGGATTTCGATTACATCAAATAAGCGACATAAAACATCGAATAGGGAAGGATAGGGAGTTGAGACTTGGATTGTATAAAAGGTATCGCAGAGCCGTGAATGCTCTGGACGGAGTTGACACCGCTCTTGTAGCAGCTAGCATGGGACTCGGTGTAGCGGGTATCGGTTTACTATCAACTATAATCGCCGCGCCTATCGTGCTCGGCATGGAAATAACCGCTGGAGTCTCGGGACTGGCAGGAATAGCGATAAAATTCATTTCTCGTAGGTTACAAAAGAAAGCATTAAAACACGATAGTATTCGGATACTCGCCGAAGCAAAGTTGAACAGCATTGAGGATCATATCTCGACAGCTATGGCCGATTGTAAGATATCCGAGGATGAGTTTCGTTTAGTGCTGTCGGAGCTCAACAAATACAATAAAATGAAGCAGGAGATTCGATCAAAATCTCGTAAGACCAGTGGTATTAGCGAAGACGAGAAAAAAAAGTTCATAGAAGAGGGGAGGCAACAAGCTCGTCAATTATTCCGTGCCAAAACCAAAGAACTGGTTGGAGATTAAAAATAGATTGTTTACTATCATGTGATTACATTTAGACAAATGCTAACATAAATATATAATAATGGAGAAAGCTATTCAATGGAAAGAATTACCACAAGGTTTTTATTATATCAGTGATGTCAAACCAACCAAATACGGTTATCAATTGTTTCTTATCAATTTACAAAAAGAGTGTAGTTATATAGTCTGGTCTCCTAGTAAAATGAACGAAGAACTTAATAAAAATGTTGAATATCGCTTTATCGATAAAAATAATAAAGAATATTTTTATTACCATTTAGACTCATCTAAAGCAATGATTGGCCCCAGGTATTGGTAGTGGTCCAGAACCATCATTACCTATAAAAATTTATATCATTGACTCCACCTAGAGCCAATTTAACTTAATCTTATGACTATCATTAAATCGCATCATCATTTTGGCATAAAAAATTCCTCCTGTAGTAGCAGTATAGGTATATGAATCCTGCTCCAGTGGAGTTGCGGCAGAACCATCATTACCTATACTACTCGAATACTTTTAGCGCGTAAACGGTTCCTCACTGCTGATATGCTATGCACTGCCGAACTTGTAGAGGTGGCCGTGGTGGTTCTTTCACGTAAGTGACGTAGCTATATGGATCTGTCCTGTACTCTAGTAGTGATACGTGGTCGACCGGATCTTTGAAGGTAACGTGTTATCCCGTTTGCCTGATAACAGTTCCACAGTCTTGCCATGATTGCCATAAAAGGCGACTTTGCCTGTCGTAAGAAGCGACTAATGGGATCGGCTGGTCAGGCTCGCTGACTTGGTTGATGCATGTCATCGATCCCAATTGCGTGGATCGATGGTCATGTTATAATCACTGAACTGTCTGGTCCAGAGTTGATTATTTACATACCACCGTCATATAGCTGGAATATTGCAGAGTGCGGCGTTAAACAACAAACAAAACTTAACATACGACCCAAGAAGATCCGGGTCAGAATTGAAACAACCAAACAAATTGTAATGGTGCTTGGTGCTATGTGGTAAAACCAGCCTACAGTTGAAGATGATTCTCCTGTTTGTAGTCGGTCGATGGCATTGTGATGGCATGCAAAACATTTAACCTCATCGCCAATGGGATCACCTCAGGCTTTGTCAATCACAACACCAGGATTTAAGCTATAAAGGACCGACCATTTGATATTTTGTTGGGCGTGACATTTTATTGAAAGAAATATATTATCCCAGGAATTGCTTAAAAACATATAATTTAGACTGTTGAAAAAAGAAAATCATCTGCCACGAAAAATACATTGTTGCTTGGTTCTTCTTGTAAAAAATAATTATACTCATAGTTTTTATTATTTGGTTTTGTGGATGTAGTTGAAACAGTATCTGGTCTCCATACAAAATCCCACCACCCCGACCCCATAAACAACTTATCTATGTTTTACACACACCTTAAGGCGCGTTGGGGAAGGCTAGTGTTAATAACGTTCGGTTGTCAAGCCGAAGACCCGGGTTCGATTCCCCACATGGACAAAGTCCATTTCTGGTGATCCCAGCCGTGATATTGCTGGAGTATTGCTAAAAATTACGTAAAACCACACTCACTCACTAACACCTTAATGTAGAGTTGTGTCCCTTCCGAAATAGCAACATGGAATGTGATTTACATCAATAACCAAGATATGACATTCAGACGTGCAGTCAATGTGTGTAGCTTCACACATCAACCATACGTGTATAGGTTTATCTTTTAGGAGTACAGTTAGTTTGTTGAAACAGTTAGTACAATGAAAATATTTTGGTGGAGACTAGTATCCTCTGCTGCCCTAATAGATGTTTCCTGTACAAGATGAAAGCAAAATACACATGAATCCCTACATTGTTCATACGTATAGTTCTTTGACTAGTCTTCACTTTAGTTAAAGGAATATGCATGGTAATAACATCATGTATATAATTATGTTAATTTTGTTTATTCACTGTTTTCACAGTATTGCTTTACCATCACGTACAAAAGCGAGGGCCAAAGACAATACGATCTACGCAGTGAATCAGAGTCGGACTGTAAGGCATGGATTGATGCCATCCAGAGAGCAAGGTAGGAGAGCATCAATTACTAATAGTTACTTTTCATTGACAATAGAGATTATTCTTCCATAGACTTCGGTCTTCATGGACACCGAAATGGCCCTGGGACATTCTTTGAACGAATACAATGATTAGGCCAACGATCAAGGTCACGAAATGGACAAAATACACTTTTATGGTTGCACTTCCTCAAAGATTGTAAATACATTTATCATTAAACTTTGTGTATACATTTTCTAGGTTGGGTCCCTGTTTGAAAAAAAGGTTCAGGTCCAGAATACACTAAGGTTTACGTCAGTGTTCAGGTACGAATGCTGCTATATTTGTTTTCATTCACGGTCAAGGTCACCAAGGTATAATTTAAGTATTCAGATATGGAGTTTGATCAAAAACTTAATATGCATGAAATCTAAGGCAGTGTCGCCGTTTTTGGTGACCTCCGTAGATGGTCAAGGTCACTCAAAAGGTATCAAGTCACACATGAAATGACTACATTTAGAAAATGTTGTCAGTTTGATTTGCAGACTTCCCATTTTGTACACCACTTGTATTCAAGTCATGTTCTCGCATGTGATTGGATGGTGAAGGTCAAGGCCACTCAATGAGAAGAAGTAGACATCTCCAAATTCTTGTGTACACAATATATATAACTGAATCATAATTTCTAGGCAATGTAAGGCCACGGTAAGTAAACCGACAGTGCTTTTAACTTTGTTATTTTGAAAGCTACAGCCACATGCCCTTGTTTCTAAATTGGGTATTTGTTTTCCCAACTCGGAAGTAATATTATTCAACCAGAAGTGCCCATAACGTAGCAGAAGTGCCACAAGGAAGCAAGGAAGTTTTATTGTGTGTGAGTCTTAAGGACCATTTGCAAAACACATTCGTTCCACAGCTCACTCAAGTACAGACTCACAAGCCTCACAAAACTCTCTCTCTCTCTCTCTCTCTCTCTCTCTCTCTCTCTCTCTCTCTCTCTCTCTCTCTCTCGCATGACTGGACAAAGGATTAAATATAATGATTGTTTGTTTGTTGGACGTTTGACGACGCACTCTGCAATATTTCTTTTCAGACAGACATATTTATTTGCATTGAAGGCCACGTAACCTTAAGTACAAAACTTTTTACTTCATAGTTTGAGTTACCACACAAAAACAGGCTCAAATTAACATAATTACTTATTAAGAGAAACAGTTCCTAAAAAGTCATGTTAAGAACTTGGTAAATGGCAATAATACATTAATATCTGGCGAAGTACTCAGGTTTTTAAGTGAATAATACTGCTTTTTTGACAATTTATGTAATAACAGTTTACGCTCATATTCATAATGTTTACAGACATATACAACATGAATTTAATCTTCAGTTGCTTTGCAATGTTCACACATTATCATCAGTAATTGTTGACACACCCCTACGTAGATGCGGTAAACCCAAGGAATTACAGCCAATTCTAAACTTTGTTAATAGACGTTTGTACTCACGGGGCATTTGAAGAGACAAATATTTTTCACAATATAACAATGATTTCTGAGTCTTATAAAAAGTTAACACATTTGAGTCTAAGGAGGCGTGCCATTCTTGCAAAGAACGGTTGTACACTCTTTCCTCTAACCTGGGAAATAAATAGCTTTGGATCACCAACATCCTGTGAAATCCAAGCGATACCAAAACCGTAGCAAAATAATAAATGTCTTACATGTGTGGCCCAGTTGGGGCATTTCCTATCAACAGTAGTTAACAAAAAGAGACAGCAATTATATGGATATCTAAACTAGTGTCCAAAAGAAACGATACCACCTGTTTGCAACGACATAAAAGAAAAACTAAACAATTCAGAAGTTTAGGATTGGTGTTATGCTTTTGAGAAATCCTTTCACAACATCTGTACAAAAATTTCATTTCAATAAAATCTGTACAACCAATATGACAAGCCTTTAAAGATGGGTGGGGTCGAAAAATGAACATTTCGTTAGAGCACTGATCACAGAAACAACGGGAAATGTCACACCACACGTCTCAAAGTCAAGTCAGTAGCGGGTATGTCCACCGTGAGCATCAATACATGCCAGAACACGCCTACGGACTGATGACGTCAAACGTCTGATGACGTTGGGAGTGATGCGTTGCCATTCCTCGAGGAGACATCGTTCCAAGTCCTGGACGTTGACTGGAGGCACGTTCACCAAATCGTCGGTATACAAGCTGCCGTCCATCGTTTCTGAAGATGAGGAATCTGCTCTCATCAGAGAACATAACACGTGCCCAGTCCCGCCGTTGCCAACGTCGAACTCGCCTGGCCCAGATCCGTCTGCTGTTCCGGTGTCGAGGCGTCAGGAGCGGTCCGCGGTAGGGATGACGTGGCCGGATACCATACTGCCGTAGTCTCCTGTAGACGGTCTGTCGACTGATCCTGTGTCCCAGTGCTGTAGCCGCCGTGGACGTCGCTGTTACGGTGCGGTTCCTCAGGTGTAATACCCGGATGTAACGATCTTCACGGGGCGTGGTTACTCGTGGTCTTCCACTCCTGGGTCTGTCTGACGTCTGACCTTTCTGACGTAACCGCTGCATCAACCTGGTGATAGTGATGCGTGCGCAGCCCAACCTTCTGGCGACGTCGACGTGTGACGCTCCTTGTTGGACCATTCCAACGGCTCTCTCTCTCTCTCGATGGCTGTCAAACGTGGCATATCTTGTGTTCTTTTTGTTGCTGTGATATCAACGTGTCTGATCAGCCATTTTATACAGTTTTTCTGCACGTGCAGAACATGCTAGAGAGGGAAATGTCACTTTCACGAAATTTACGTTTTTTCCCGGAAGTGATCATGTGTTCCCGGTATTTTTTATCGACTATGCTGTGTTTGGGATGTGCAATACGAATTGGCATGTTTTCATACTTGACAATTCACTTAGTAAAAAACAATTTTGAAAATAAGTTGGTATCGTTTCTTTTGGACACTAGTTTATTAAAGTTCATATGAAGCAATCTTGACCAATATTTAACACATCTTACAAAATAGGTAGTTTACAAAGGAACGTTGCCGCATTCACCATAGACAGCAGCATTAGATGATCTATATCCAATGTGTAACAAAAATTTACAAAACTTTCGTTAGGCAATTTCTATGCTTTCCCTTCTTTGGTAGCCCCAGATTTGGCAACCATATAACAAAATGGGTACACTTTTCTTATCAAATAGGTAAAACGAATCTATAGGAGTACATTCCAGTCTCCTGATAAGGGATTTTACTGATTTTTAGAAACCTGTTCTGGTCCAAATGACTTTTGGCGTTATAATTAACCCTAAATATTTATACATACTTACAGTATCCATTTGTTTACCATTAAAATACCATTTTTCATATTTTGATAAATGGCCACCCATTTTAAAAACAATACCTTTCCTCTTATCAGTATTAAATTCCACTCCACAGTTTTGGGAGTAAAAATATAAAGCATCAAGACGCATCTGGAACGCCTAATGAAACTATCAGCAGCAAGAACCAAGTCATCAGCAAATAGAAGTGCAATTATATTAAAGAAGTGTTCAGATATGAATATACCATCATCAAATTTACCATCTACATATGCTAAAAGTTCATTAATAAAAAGAAAATAGCACGGGGCTTAAGGTACACCCTTGTTTCACACCACAAGAACTCACAAAATAATCTTTTAATTTCTTACCATAGTTATGTTTTACAGTAGCTTTTACATTTTCATACTTACTTTTAATGACTGTGAAAAAGAGTACCATTTTGAAGCATAACATACAAAAGCTTTGATCTGTTTACCATATCAAATGCCTTACGAGAGTCAATGAAGGCACAATATACTTTACCATTTTTACGTGAAATATACATTTGCACTATAGAGTTAAGGATAAAAATGCTATCGATAGATCTTTCTTAAGATCACCTATGTGTCTTCTGTCATACTGTCCTTTGCATTTGAAATGTCCTTCCAGACATTTCACTGTGTTCGATGTAGATGCTGCATTGTTGATCCAGGCGATCGTTACCGAGATCTGTTGATTTGGCTTCACACGGTCATGACGTTCTTTCTTACGTTCCCTCACTTTGAACAAAAATATAAAAAACGTCTTTGTTACCAAATATGGACCCTACAATGGAGGTGTCAACTGATTTTAGGACATACACGTTCTCAGATTCATAGATCTTCGGATTTAACTTGACATGGTAATCTCGTTTCTGTCACAGCTGTGCTTCCTCCTGAAGATCTCGTGACACACTATGTGTTTCCTTCAGACTCTGCAGTATCACCCTATTGTATCTATCGACCTGTCCATTGGAGCGAGGGTGATGAAGAGTTGCCATGGCCACAGTAACACCTTTGCCTCTTCTTCTAGGGGCAGTTGGGTAGCCTCGTGGTTGGTACGGAGTCATTCCATAAATAGAGTATAAAAGAATCTTTCATTATCAGTTCCGAGAGTACCAACTACATCCCCTCCAGTTGTCCATCATTATCAACTATCAGCGCTAATTTACTGTAAAGTGTTGGCTTCCATTTGTCTATTGCTAATCACCCATCAGCGCAAATTATCTGTTGGCTTCCCTTGTTGAATTTTCCACCTTTGTTATCTTATTACATCTGTAGTTCTTACAGGTACATGTATATGTTCTCTGCCTCTTAACATTTATTCACCTGATGAAGGAGTAAGTATATACTCCGAAACGTTGTGTTCCTCATAAAAAAGAAGTCATCCATAAATTTTCTACCTTATGTGTATCTCTTCTAACTCAAACACTTTATCATAAAATTGTATCAATTCTGCACCTAAGGTTCTATTGGATGCATCTGTGTGTGGTATTTAGATACTGTGTGCATTTGGATATTCCAAAACCACTGAATTAACTAAGCCTGGTTTCAAATTTTGTAAAGCTGACGAGTGTTCTTCCTTACAAACATTATTTACACCCTTCTTAGTGAGACTGTGAAACCCCTTATCCTTCTCTGCCAACTATCTTATGCCGAAACTTTACTTTTGTT